GTCAGCTTATATTTTTCTATAACTCATACGACTCGTTCAAATATAGATGAATCATAACCTTTTTCTCAAATAATTCTATCCCTTCTTTAAAATCAGTATACCGTGGTAATAAATGCGTCGCTATTTTATCATTCTAGCAACAGAATGTGAATACTTTTCAACAGTCAAATGGACATCTTCCGTCCGCAGTGAACCACTAGAGATGCGATTATGATAGATGAATTTCATAGGATTAAGAGATCAGAAGGCTGGATCGCCTCCGTTAAAATTTTATAACTAATATTTTCATATCACTGCACATATTTGAATCACTTAACTGGTAAGTATCCACGATTTAGTATGTGATTAACTATCTGTTGTGCAGTGTGAATTATTTTTGATAAGTAGATTCCTAGCAAAATAACCTCGTATTCTCTAGACTACAACTATATTGTTTTGTTGGTGAGCTTGCCATTCAGTGTTCTTTTATAGAGCTGCGATATAACCATGACAGCGATTAATCGATGATTTTTGTGGATAGAAGACTCTGGTTATGGCCCAAAAAACGAGCTCCACACGGGCAGATTAACTGATAGATTCACTTTGAGAAAACAGAAAGATTGAGCGAAGAAATATTTACTTTTCAATTAGATCCTCATTTTTGGCTCTACTCTAATATATATAACATTTTAATTACAATACAACAGTTTGCCAATCAAGTGGCGATAAGTTTGTTAACAATAATTAAACAGTGTCAATGGGTTAATAGTTAACGAAGAAAATCAATACAGATTTAAAAGGTGGAAATGGGTAGAATAAATTAACTTTACAAGAATAACACGTAAATTAAAGATGAGGTGGTCAAAATAAATAAAATAAAATAAATAATTTAGACAAAATAATTTTATAGGTTTAGGAGGAGGGGGGTGACGCTGTCCTGTTTATCCATTCTTGTGACGATGGCCACGGTAGGGTAAGTGGCAAACTGTTGTAATGTAATTAAAATGCTATCTATATTAGAGTAGAGCCAAAGATGAGGATCTAATTGAAAAGCAAATATTTCTTCGCTCAATCTTTCTGTTTTCTAGATTCACATTGATCAGGTCAACTGTATTCATGGAGACGATTTGTAGCTCAGGTGGATGATTTTCACGTGGTTGTGTTCTTTGAGCTAGCTGGATGGGTGATTTGCGAAGCTTTCAGCGCCCTACTAGGCGACATCTTCAGCGCATACTTTGATTTGAAATGAATTTTTAGATTTCTCCACGAGTTTATTAATCTTCTCTTCTGTTGGACGTGATTGGTTGTTGTTGTGTGTTGTCACACGTGTTACATGTGTTACATGTATTGGAACTAATTTTTTCTTTGACTTAAACTTTGATCCTTTGTGTGTCAGGTTTCTTTCTTACCCATTGATAAATTTGGTTTATCTTGATGTCTATTGATTGATGATTCAGTGGAATGTCAAGCTGGATTCTAAAAATTCTCTAGCATTCATGTTGTTTCCTCTGTCTAATATTTGAATGTTGGTTGTCCCAGTCGAATCGATGTCCATGGTTGTCTGTATGCAATGACATGAGGGAGTGGATATCATGTCTTTTTACGGCTAGCGTACCTTCATGGATACGAAGACGAGGGTAGTCCACTTCGGCCAATATAGCGTTTTTCGCAGTTGTTACAATTTATTTTGTAGATGATGCTAGTTTCATCTTCTTTCGCTGTCGAGTCTTTTGGTTGACATAGAATTGAATGGAGCGATTTTGTTGGTTTGTGTACTTTGTGGGTCAAAGTTTAGGCCAAAGAAACAATCACCCCCAATACATGTAACATAGAACGTGTGACAACACACAAAAACAACCAATCACGTCCAGGCTCAACAGGAGAGATGATTAATAAACTCGTGGAGAAATCTAAAATCTCACTTCAAATTGAAGTATGCGCTGAAGATGTCGTCTAGTAGGGCGATGAAAGCTTGGCAAATGAACTATCCAGCTCAGAAAAAATAACCACACCAAAAGAGGTCAACTGTGCTAAGATATCCATCACTGAAGTGCGAATCATTCCTTTAGTTGAGTTATTTAATCGAAGCGCAGCTGCGAAGGAGGATTTCTCAGTGCTTTTGCTGATGTTTATTCATCGAATTGCGGGTTCGTTAAGAGGTCTTTAAGGAACAGAAAGTGTAAGTTGTTTTGTTAGCACAAGTCTCATAAATTTTGTAATGAACTGATTCGGGTGACCATTTTTAAGGAGGATTCTTTCAGATTGCTCAGTTCCCCTTCTATAATATCAGGGCTGCAAATGCTGACAACCCTGTCGTTCATTGAACGGATCAGGTCTCGTTTAGTTCACACAGTCACCGAACTATGAGAGTTACTGAAATGACTGTTCCATGTTGGCTTTTTGTAGATGAATCTTTTTAGTGTTCCATCTTGTTGATCGGACATCCAGAGAAGAAATCTCTGTGTTGTTCTTCTCCTCAAATATAGACTAAGTCGCATGATCTCAGCTGTTTAAAAAGTCTAGGATATCCTCCAAATTCGCCTAATTATTGGCGGAAATGAAAGTATCGTCCACGTGTTTCTTGTACAATCGAAAATGTCAGTCAGTTTCTGTAGGTGATTTCTAGTTTTGAGATGAAGAAATCTGTCAGAAATGGACCTCGTTTCGAAAACATAGCATTACTTTCTATTTTGTGAGTTATGTCACTGCATTAGTCAGTTGCACTGCGATCAGAACGCCTACCGAATGTCCACATGGTCTGGGATACGATAACAGGCCGGTGAACGCCTGGTGCCAATAGTCTGCCAAATTATCACATGCCGAAAAATTCATAATTGTACGAAATACTGTGTGGAATCAAGTTAGAACGAACAAAAGAAACTCGGATATTTAGAGTGCATCTCAACAAGACTTCTTTGAAACAGCCAGGGATGTACAAATATTTAAACATTTTGAACCGTTATTTTAGCATATGAAACAAACTGTTTAAGGTAATATGACTTTCGGTAACAGCCATATCACATCTACTGATTGGGAACACTGACGTTTTTAACTTAGTCAAGAAGATCAAAGGATTCTGAGAGTGAGTGGCAGGAAAGTTGTCTTCATATTGGTCCTAGTATGTCTAATAGCTCTCTGACAGTGCGACGAAAAGGTGAGTTCATTATATCGAGAATAGTTCTAAGAGGTGTGTCTCTCTCTGTCGTGTACTTTCAGTTATCCATAGCGTGGGCATATACTTAAGCCAGTTGGCCTCGGCGATTTGAATGTTTCATCCTTATTCAATGATTCAGTCTTTAGTTTTCCTTTGCTTATGCCTTAGTTTGTTCGGTTTTCTCCATCATGTTCCTTTCACTGAGTGATTATGTGAATTGGCAGTCGACGGATAGGAGAGTCAACATTTCACTTACACAATTTCATCAGGGAGCATCAGGAAGATATCTCCATTGTTCAATAATTCTTTCAGCTATTTATAATATTTCTTGGTTATTATGGACCTCCCGCTTGCTTTGATATTTATTCATGTATGACAGATGTCAAGGAGTGATGATTTGAATTGCTGCAGGTTCTCTTCAGACGTTGGTATAAAATCATGTGTTTGATTTATCTAGTTATGAGCTGAACATGGGATTGAAACTTCTGAATGCTTGATGGCTACACACAGAATTTCGGACCTGGCGATAGTGCTTCTAGGTGAAGTATTGACAGTTGGATGTTAGAAAGAATAATTGTGCGTTTTTCTGGATTGCTTGAGAATCGATGTTTATTATTAATAGCCCACCTCAGGGTCTGAATTAGATGTGACTTAGTCTCGTCATATTCTTTCTGCTACACTTCTTGGAAATATTCTTCGAAGAATTGAAGTAGTTCTTGATGTAAATAGTGGACTGCATGAACTCTTTAGTAGACATTTAGGTCTAGTTCGGGAACATGTGACAAAATGGAGTCAGTATGTCACCTAAGCGTTCTGAAATTCGGTTGGAGCTGTTTGAGTCCGACTGATCTCTAGTACATCTTTAGATGACCATGTAGACGAATGTCGACATAATTCATTGTATGCCAGATTGATGCTCGATAACTACCTCGCTACGTAATCTAAGATCAAACAATATGCAATTCTGATTACATATCCCTGCATATATACTTTTTTGATGAGTCAATAGGCTAATGTATCCAGATTTAAGCGAGAGGGAATGTTTCACTAAACCCTCCGTCACGCATAATATATATGAATAACTCAATAGAGACAGGCACTAGCGCAAATTCATTACATTTGTAGTTTTTCCATCAAACGACGTTTGCCTGAACTTCTGGAACATGGTCATGTTGTATACTTGAAATGGCATGTCTAATCATGCTCAAATTCTCGAGTAATTTAGTTGAAATATTTCGAATATACATCTCCAAATCACACATATATGTCACATATTCATAATGAACGCTGGTTGTGCGCACGTGGCCTGACCGTCATACAGATATTATCTTATTTGAATACATCGAATGCTTTTCAGCGAGAATGTGGCATCTGAGCGAGTATGTTGATTGAATTACAAGAAAATCAATATGTTTACTTAATGAAATACGAGAAGTCCATTATCAAAATACAAGTTGACAAGGTGAATTTGTCACTTTGCATGTTGGATATCAGATATCTTCGTTCGTGCCATCTTCTCTACTCCGATAAATGATTACATAAACACTCAGCTACATTGGCGGATGCAATCACAAAAGCAAACAGACCTGCAATATGGATTGCACAGAGCATCATTCTGGTTATGCTTGCAACGAGAGTGAGCATGAATGCAGTTTCACAAGTGACGTCAAGATGAGGAAGTCAGACTGTGATTTACACGCGCAGAGGTTCAATCAATCAATCAATCAATCAATCAAACAGAATTCAACACTTCTAAACGCAGATGACAACACAGTGTAGGCACAAACAGGTGTGCATGATAACGAGACAATGTAGTCCGTTCACAGTCGATTAACGACAAGGAAACAGAAAACAATGATACAGAATGTGACTGGCATTTATTAGGATTTTATTGATTATGTAATGAAAGCAATATGAGCACACATGTCATTTCGATCCATCACTCTCCTGCACTGAAATCAAATCAATCTCCACACAACATACATCTACACCGTCGTCTTATTATCCTTCCCAATGGCCGTCACGTTCACATTCTTCACCTGCTTAGCGTCTACACTCGCATTCTGAGTTCCGTTGGCCTTCTTCGCCTTCGCAGCTTTAGCGGCCTTCTTCGCCTGCTTCTTCTGCTCCTTCAGCTGCTTCTCCTCCTTCTTCTTCTTGTCATCCTTCTCATCATCATCGTCCTTCTCATCCTTATCATCATCGTCCTTGTCGTCATCATCACAATCGTCCTTCTTGTCTTTCACGCTCTTCTTACCCTTCCCTTCCTTCGACTTGCTCTTATCCTTCACCTGGGTTGCGTTCGTGTGATGGGATGTCCCATTCACAGACTTCACACTTGCAACGCCTTTCACCTTCTCGTCAACCTTCTCTGCTTTCGCCTTCACTGCATCCTCCTCTTCTGTGGCGTTCGCCCTCGCAGGAGACTTGTCAGCAGTTTTGTTTGCGTCTAGGGATTTCGCTGACACTGGAAATGGAGAGAGAAATTTCACGATAAATAAAAGTGTGTGCATGCAGTAAACATTGCAATGATTACATAAATTTATTTAAGAGTAAAATGAGGACTGTAGTATGTTGAATGCTTCTCAAATCAGCTTTTCAATTAATCACTTGTAACTGTGAGTGTTATTTGTCGGTGGCATAGCGGTTAGGCCGCATCGCCTACGATGCACATGGTCCGGGACTCGATCTTCGACAGACACACTCCTTTACCTAGCTAAGCGAGAAATAATGCTGATAAAGGGGAAAGTTTGGGCATGAGACTAGCATCCTCATCTTGTGAATAATAAACACAGAACTTTCAAACAACTGTCTTCAGTGTGTATTTTCCGCGGGGTTTATTGTCAATCATTCTTGCAGCATATTACATGTCAATGAGTTTGTTTCTCCTCAGCACTCCGTGATATTAAATTCGTCATGGTTGAGATTCAGAAGTAATTATCTCTCATGGATATTTTCATCCTTTTCGTGAATCTGTAGTAACGATTGTGCGGATGGTCAGGAAAGTGTGTTTGTGTGTGTGTGTGTGGTTTAAGTGGAATTGGAAGATGTTTTCATCCAAATGTGATTCTTTCAATAGACGGAAATGAAATTCTGTTTTACCTGAAATGTCGCTCGTCATTCTGAATAGTGACTTTTCCAAAGATCAATGAACGCTGTTAAACGGTCATGTGACATGTACTGATGACGGAATTTCACATCCAATCACCTGGAAACTGTGATTGACTATTTCGTACATTCACACTAACCCTTACTGTCACTGGGATTTCTTATGATGAATATGTTTGTTTTAAATTGACGCGCGTCCTTCATGAACATGTGTTGAGTCATATCGCAGAGTGTATTCAGTGTCAAGATGGCAGATGAGCAGGAACTCACAATTGAATCAATGGGAGTAGTTGAGTGGAGATGGTTTTACCGTGTGATTTTGATAGGTATTCTAGTCGAACTAATTGTATGTGTGTGTGAACCAATAAACTGAAAAACAAGCCATATGGTCACCTTTGTCACATTGGGATGAGAATGTACAGATTGGTTCCATAAGTGAATGAGATTTGGTTAGTATCATGCTGAAACATATATCGTCTGTGACGTGTTCTACAGTTGTGCAGATAATCCCAAGCGAACATATTATGATGATGGGGCCGGAACTCATAGTTACTAGAGTTGTTATTCTCTCTAGGCATGATGACGTTTCTTATTGAAATGCGAGTTCCATTCGGTTCCATCAGACTTTCAGTTTGTACAGCACAGGGTTATGGTTGATCGATGGTCTAATCTGCACTTTGATATGATATTTGAAGAAATTAGTTGTATGCTTTTGGTGTGGTGCTTATAAATACCCCTTTAACCTCATCATATCATTGTGCACGGCGGTTGCAGTAGGAATGGAATGAGAGTGAGTTGAACAGACAACTGTGAAACCGAATTTCTCAGTTGAATTAACAGTTAACAAAGGGTCATCTGTCAGCTGTAAACATGTTTCGACTTCGGTGGGATATGAGTTATGAGGTGAATGACACAAAAATGAACAAAACAACCATACTTGTGACTCACCTTCATCATCAACTGGTGGTTGCACTTTCGTGGGTTTCGCAGCCATATTGATTTCAGCGAGATGTGTCAGCAGAACACAAGCCATCATGATGCAGATCATCGACAACCGCGTCATTCTCTGGACTCTGAAAATGCAAATAAACACAAATACAGATAAAGGAACATTTCGAATTTGAGTCTAGTAAAATTGACTATAGAATGATGGGTGAATTAGACTGACTAGACTTGGAATTGAATGTGACATACAGAAGTGAAGATAATACTGATTCTCATTTCACTTCAAACGTGCAATACACAGTAAAGTTTGTCGTAGTTCATGGTTTGTCATTCAGATGTGTCATATAACCGACTGTATGAAACAAAATTCAGCTGCTATCGTCGGTGATGCGGTTTGAGAACTGACTGGTTAGACATGAGTGTACGAATGGATTTTGAAAACGAATTGTTTAACTTACAAGTTGTTCGTCGGTCACTGGTGAGTTGAATAGTGTTCCACTCATGCACACATTTATATATGCATGTAAATCCGGGTGAAGTGTCAAGCCGCGCGTTCAGCGGTCAGCTTTGTCACATAAATCGATTCTGTCTGTCAGTATGTGATCATGGTGGTGTAGATCTTGTGATTCCAGTTCACATGGATTAGGATTGATTGACCTCGATGAATGCTTCACTAAATGAAATACACTGCAATTAGTGATTTGAGTGAACACATTCAGGTAACATGAGATTGATTTCACATTATGTGTTCTCTCTGGTTGCATAGTGAATATTTGTTTTTCTCTGTCAGTCTGAACAACACTTTTGGAGGTGACTTCAACATGGAGTGTATCTGTTTATTCGTTTTATAGATTGCATATTTTACTGAATCCCTATCCACTTTTCGGTTTTCTGGTTGGTCTGATTGTTTCGCTGGTATCGCTTCGATGCAACTGAACATGGTGTGTGAAACTGTTGAAATATCGACGTGAGCCACTGTCGAATAGAAGTCATGTCAATTGGGATTCCTAGGCTTTTTCAATTATTTTCCAATCTTTCATGAATCGAAACGTTTTTGTTAGCCTCGTTCCACTTTGATTGAAATCGCTGCTCCAACTGATATCTGTTGTCTCTTGCTTCAGAGGAAACTAGATTGCTTCTGGTATATTTGTGACGAATGTATGGGTTAATTTATATCTAATTCCTCCTCGTAACTTTATCTTTCTGCGGGTGACTGGTGGGAATTTTCAGTTATGTTGTTGCATCCCATTTCACTAAATGGGATATGAGAGACTGAGAAGTATCCCATTTACGCCCGAGGATTCTTTGCATTATGTTTGGATGACTAAATTCTCAATAAGGTATTGGTAACTTCATATAAAGCTGGTGTGAACAGTGTTTCTCTGGTTGAAGCCTCCAGCGACAGTAAGAAATTATTGTGGTGTCGGTTAGTCAATCATATCTCGTTTCAGAACGGAAATGGTTTAGCATTACTAAATTGTCAACATAAGTACAAGTGAACGCTATCATCACTGAGTACATGCTGACGGTCGTTTTTGGAGCAAATCGTCAAGAATGAATTATCAAATTGACCCCTCTTCCACATAAATAGTATTTAAGCGGATGAAAATGGCATCAAAACAGATGTAAAATGATGCAGCTGTTAGGTTTTGACTGCTTCTAATCCGATCGAAGAAACAACTGATAACATGTAACTTATGTATATTTACAATTCAAATATAAGAAATTTTAGCTACTTGTTACCTTTTTCGTCTGATTTTCAAGTTGAATGCGATTTTGGCCGATTCAACCAGACTTATACGTACAAAATATGTGTCATTCTCTCGCTCTATACCCGTCAGATGATTCTAGTTTGGTTGGTCGTTGTGCGGTACGGTTGTATTTATTGTCTATCCAATACCACCTCCACCATGACCATTGACTAGTAGTCCATAGTCTAGCTATTCGAATATCACTCGACTATTGAGACTGTCGCTCAAAGATTGCTAATCAAATCTTATTTAATGCATGAAATCAGTTCTTTCGAAGTAGATTTATTGCATTGCATTCCGGTGCTGTGGTGGTTTATTATTTTGTCAATTGAATTTAGCATATCCCATATTATAAGTGTCTTTGTATACTTAAACGCAATACATTCTTGCTCTTTCATCAGCGAAATGTTGCTTGATACTTATATCTGATCAATATGAGGGATGAAAGGAGGCACTCAGTTCCGAACTTCAATGTTTTTTATTGAGTTTTGATGAAGTTATGCTGGCACATTTTGGCCCGTTCACTAAAACGCAATTATACACACCGTATCCGGCACCACTTCAAAAAGTCTATATACCATATTAACACTGAATCTCCGCTCATCGTCTATGGACAAAGAGTTTCCTACCAATCTGAATGTTCAAAATTCCACCGATACTTCCTCTCATCAGTAGTATAAACGAATCCTGCATGGACAGCACAGGGTTGCATTTTGCACAGAATCTGTTCCTTAAATGTAATACAAGGGAGTCTTGGTGAAGTTTCGGTTTAATGGGACTGAGTTTTTTTCCTCACTGATGATGAACCGAACAACAAAACGGAGGTGGGCGGATGTTCTTCGCAATCCTCCTAATTCGGTGTAGGCATTATGACCATATTTTAAGGAATATGAATGATTGGATTGGAGTTTGTGAAGAAATAATAGAATGCATTGGACACAGGCGATAAAATTTGTCTTCAGCTGAGCATTCAGTGTAGCTTCCCCACATTATCAATAGATATAACTAGAAAACATAACTCTGGAGACTGGTGACAGACCGCTTGCGTGTGTTTGTTTGTGGACAGTTTTTCAGTGTGATGGATATCTACTTAACAAGCTAAGATTGAGTGATATTCAACCACAGATTTGAAGTTCCACTGTCTCACAAGTGACAATGTTACTGCTGAGACATTCCTTCACAGGAGACGTGTTGGATGTGAACCGAGATATTTTGGACTGATAGCCAATATGGTAGTTCACTCTCAGACAGTATATTTAGATACACGAAATGAGTTGTTGTGTTTTATAGACTGAACTAGATGGTTGTGTATTCCATTCCTTTCTACCCTTTGCTATTCCTCATTCTGTGATCAACATTACACAACTTCCATCAGAAAGTAATATGAAATACCTTCAAGTTCTCTTAGAAACGACCTTGTTTTCCAGTGTAGTCTAACTCACTGAATGTATTTATTCCCTCTCCGATGTGCAGTTATTTATTTCTTGTAGTTGAACATATTTGGTGTACATACTTTATATATGTACTCGTAACTGATGAACAGTGTTCATTCGTATCCGTTTATTCCGTGTCTGTTATTTGTGCGCTGTCCAACTAACAAGTGGATCGCTTTTGACACAGTTCTGTTGTATTTACTTATTGACGTATACTGACTCTGCTTTTTGACGTCATTCAGCCACAGACACCTCTGAATTGAGATTTTCATGACATATTTCGTGAGTCATGTTGAATATAGTGCCGCATTTGAGACATATCCTTGTGTTTTTCGATTTTAAGCATCACTCAACCTGTGGTATTATTAGTCGTTCGATTATCGTCCCAATTTCTTTTGGAACTAATTTACAATAAATATATTGATACTGCCTAACTGAAGTTGATTTCGTGTCTTCGAAGTGGACGTCAACCTTTTCCGTGGTAAGTGTTTTCTTATTGTGCTCATCACACAACCTGTGGTTTCAATAGTCGTTCGATTATCGTTCGAATTTATTTTGGAACAAATTAACAATATATATACTGAAATAGTCTAACATAAGGTGTGTTCTTGTCGTTGAAGTGAATCTCGACCTTTTCCCTAGTAATAAAGAAAGATGAAATTTCAGAATTTCACTGTTTTTCTTCATTCGTCAACTATTTGTACGCATAAAATGGGCATATATCAAGCTCTCAGATCTTTTTCACACACTAATTAATCTTCTCCTGTAACACTTGCTCAGATAGCCATTTCCGATTGCAGTTTCATTCAAGCAATGGCTAAGCAGGGAATAGTTCTCAATAGTCTTTTCAGTATATGTTCTATCCATGTTCTTTTAAATCGGAAAACTTGCAGGGCAACAGGATTCTGGTCGCTCTATTCTGATATTTTGCTGTTGATCATCTTTGCACACCAACCATCTGATATTCAGCATCGAGTCTGCGACTACCACTGGTGTCTGATTCATATAACGTAATCCAAAGTTTAGATGATTAGTGGTGAGATTTGAAATTTTGTTTTATGTTCTTACCGAATGAAATGAATCAGGATACGTTTGAATTAGATGGCATGCGGTAAACTGGGTCGTGTAATACTCATCCTGGACACCACTTATATAGATGTATTAAATTCAGATCACAATCCAAAGAGTGAGACATATTCCTCAGGGTTCACCTATCCCACTCAACGAAATGATATTATCATGTGAACAAGAATGTCACAATTTTGTTGACTGACGGTTTTGATGAATGTGACAGAATGGATCAACACACGCAAAGCCTGACATGTTACGCACATTTGTACTCATATATATATACATCAGCCGAACACAATACAAACCACCAATAATCTCAACATAACCCATAAGTTACTGGGCAATATTCACACCTCTCCTTCAAACCACTGTTTCATTCTATTCACACACCTTTATACTAGAATTCAACTGATCATTTGTTTCGCAAACCACATCACCTAATCACACAATCAACATTAACACGTATATAACATAAGCCCATACACGGCTTTTGTGATGACCACAAATACCACAATACGTTACTCTGTGTGATCGAATTTCGCTCAGTGATACAAGGCATTAAGATCACCTGTCAATGACTCTGTCAACGTAAGTTGATATTAGTTTCATGCACCTCCTATTTGTGATACAATTCCAGCTTCACTCCAGTGAAGAATGTTTCCTCAATTGATTCATTTGCTTGTATAGGATTCAGAGAATGGCACATTTGTCGGTGGTCTGCATCATTTTTACATGTGTGGTACCATTGTGGTGAGAGCAGGCTGCTAGCCGATTGGTTGGCACTAATCTACGTTAAGGTCTAGGTCACTAATATGGGCCGTGAACAAGGCTGAGTCAACAACCAATCACAGCGAAGTTAACGTGGCAAAATATGACTCGCAGATAGAGAACTCTGTTTGTCAAGGAATCCCGAAACAACCAATCAGAAGCCTGCGTTTGTCTACCTAAACAACCAATCAGATGACTGCGCTTGTCTATAATAATGTTGTCGGAAATATGTATAAATAAGTGTTGATTTTCATAATAAAACGATCTGTTGCCTGGCCCTTGTCTTCTGTTGTTACACCATCACATGATTGAGTAACCGTTCTGAAAACTCTCACTTACTTTTGTTGTTGTTGTTGTTCATTTTTGAGTCAGTCACCTGACATTCTGTCTGTGATTAAAATGCTCATCTCAAGGATATCCATTTCCTTATGATATAACTGTAAACACTCACAAAT